TCAATGAAACTTCAGTATTATTCTCCAGTTGGATATTCATTTTACTTTGAGGTGGAAATGCCACTGATCACACAATTTACACTTTCATAGTAATACGTGACAAATTCAGCGAAAAGCTACGGCTTTAAAAATAGGACAGGAAAAATCCCCCTCAGAAGGATGTGCAATCTTTTAATAATTTCTCTGTGTTTAATAAGTCTTAAGTATTTGGCCCATACGATCATCAAATCCTCTGCCAAAAACCAACTGTGAGAGAGAAATGAAATTACTGGAAAAACACAAAGCACGTGGGACCACAGCAGCCTAACTCGGGAGTCTGCCTTCTTCAGGAGCACTAAGTGTTTTCCTTTTCTCTAGAAGATACTAACCATCCTAATCACTCTCTCCCACAACTAAAAGCAGCTTTCTTTGTAGTAAGTTTGCACCATTACTTCTTTAAAGTATACAAAGATGCCTACCACTTTCAACCGTAAACTCCGTCAATATCCTTCTTATCCTATATGTGGGTTTTTGCTCACATCTATGCCTCTGCATATAGGTGAAGTATGCTGCTACCCACGTGCATGGGCTAAAAAGTCCTCATGGGACTTTTAAAAATAGCTCTTTGTTTCCAGAAAATATTTCTCAAGCCTGTACCCCGCAGAAGGTATGTTAGCATGTGCCCATTACCACACAAACACCTATTCACATGGATTAGGTCTGCTCAAAAAGCACGCAGAAGGCAAAGCCCCGAGGGCTTAGAAGCTGGGACAGATACTTTTTGGTGAGCAAGAGAAGGAAGAGATGAGCGCAATGGGCAATTCTTTAAGTGGCGCGTGGCATGGGTTAATTTTAGCTGGTCTGGTTTGACCGTGTGCTTTTTTTCCAGAGTTACATGATGCTTGGCAATCCTATGTATAGACTGTGTTAACTAAAGATAAGTGATGTGCTGTAGTCATGGGTCCCTGAGTTGTTTCAGGGCAGAATATGTCAGCTTGTCAATGCTCCTTAGCAATATAATTAAATTTATGATTTGCACCTAAATTCAGTGGAACTGGGGGCTGATGCTTAGGCTGTCCACATAGCTAGGGTGCGCCTACATGACGAGCTCACTCTAGGAAACTCCATCATGAGCAGACTTTGGGCTTCCTGGTACCAAGGTGCTTGGCAGGCACACAGGTAGTGGTTCCAGACCTGGAGACACAGGGTGTCTGGTGTGACTAAGCAGTGAGAGGACGAAGAGGCCTACACCTGGGCTCTCCAGATCCCGGTCAGTGCACTCCCCTCATCTGCTGTTGCCCTAGTGTATCCTTTGCCTGTAAGGAAGCTATCCTCTGAGTATAAACCATTTGATTCCTATGAGTCCTTTTAGCAACGCTGAAGGTGATTAATGGACAATTAACACAGGTGGCGAGATCTGTTCCTCCATGAATGACCCCCCCCCACCCCCCGCCCCTGAGAGCCAAGAGGTTCCATGATAACAAGGGGGGCTGGTGGGAATTGTCAAGAGTGCCGAAGGGTGGGTAGCCAGGGAGCTATTAAGGATACTTCCATTTAGTTAATTTATGTGCAATATCATTTATTACTTACAATGTTCAAGGTACCATTTGAGGTACTGTGAGTTATACAACTCTGAATAAGACACAGCTGTTCATAATCCAGATGGGGAGATAAGAGAAATATGCAAATAACTACACTCCAAAGCAGCGTGTAATATATCCCCTCAGAGTGATAGGAAATCGTGTGACCTCTCTCAAAGACACACACAGAGGAGGGAGGAACTGCTTCAGGCCAAGGGTCAAAGTGTTTTGGCCGAACCTTAAGGTATGGGCAGGATTTATATTTCCAGAATGCTGGGTGAGGCAGAAGGATGATAGTTCTGGAAGATGGGACGGCACGAGCAAAGTCCCAGAGGAGGGAAAGCATAGTGTTCCTGGGGAGTAGTGGGTAGTCTAGACTTTCAAGCTGGGGTCAGGTGACAGATGGTGGATTTGAGTGTCCTGGGATAGGATTGCAGTTTAAAATTTAGGCAGTGGAGAAGGTACTAAAGATAGTTAGGGTTATTTAGAGCAGAGGGATATGTTGGATTCTGAAAATCGTTATTGGCAGAGGAAGATGGACACAAGGAAGGAGAGACGGGGTAGGGTGCGGAAGGAGAGAGGAGCGAGACAGCTACTAAAGGGTTATTGTGATAGCCCAAGTGTAAAGTAAAGGTGGCCTGCAGAAGGGTGGTGACCTTTATTTACGTTTGGACAGTTCTGTCTAGGATTCACTCTGGGAGGGTTTTTTTAATTTTTCTTCCACAAGGTTTTGCTTTGAATCTGAGAATTCAGAAAAGTGCACGTAGGAAATGTATACATTACAACTGTGAACTGACAGTTCTTGAACACTAGCTTTTTGTGTAAAACTATCTCCTTAGGGGGAATATAACCTCCCTGAGGTCAGGACCATATCTTACACATTTCTTTCTTCCTCAAGGTGTAGAGCTAGCTAGTGCTGGGTGCATGGCAGGGAGTTAAACATTTGTGATACAGTGACTGTGTCCACAGTGACACAGTGAGGCTACGGGAGCACTAGGGTCTGTTGCATCTCAGTGAGATGCTTGGATGATAAAGGTGGCCATGTGTCCTAGTGAGTGCACTGTGGAAGGTGCCTAGCGATACAGACATATCCGTTGACGTGGGGTACTTTATCCAATCAGTCCTGAGACAGAGGGCATGTAACTTCAGATAAGGAGAAGCTGGAAGGATAGGATTCTTCCTTGCGTGGGGAGCTCAGTGTCTGTGTGACGTGCCACAGATGAAGGGTAATAGCTATTATTCTTGTTTATCGCAAGGACAGAAAATCAACACATGACAAATGACTGGCAGCAATTTCTTCAACACATCTGCCATACTCAGAGGTTGTATTTCAACAAGGCCCAAAGCTTAAGGTCCTCAGACCCCATGACTTGACAAAGACAATGGCTTGGGGAAATCTTACCACCACTTTGCGGGCAAGAGCAGGGCAGTGTATTGTGGTTGCGTGTTGGGGAGGGTTCCAGTGTGGGCTGGAGCACGCACCATTAGTAAACCATTCTTAACTGATTCCTTCTTATTTCCTTACAGAAAGCAGCAATAAGTCACGTCATCTGCTGAGTGAAGGCTTTGGAATATACTGGCTGGGATAACCCAAACATAAGCAACAGTTAGTCTTTCTACAACCCCTCACATTAATTAGGGAGCAGATTAACATGTCAGATGATTCTAAAACAGGAGGGCTGGAGAGTTCGCAGTCTGGCACAACTGATGAATTGATGACGTTTGTTAAAAACAGCACCAACCCTCCCTTTCAGTCACCTCCAAGAAAAATGATGTTTACATCGCCTATTAGAAAAGGACTCTGCAATTTAGTCACAAAACCCCAATTATAGTTTCATGATGCCGTTATGATCCCTGAAACAGCAATGGCTTAAACACAGTCAGGTGCACTAACTTCCCTTCCTTTATTTTGTAATGTGGACTCGAGCAGATACTTCAATTGAGGAAAAGAAAATCCATCCTTAGAATTTAACTGAAGGTGCCTACTACGTGATCACCTTTTTTTTTTAGGTCACGCGAGGGATTTAGAAGAAGCAGAAAACATAGGCTTTGCCTTAATTAATTGCGACATAATTAATTTGTGCAGCGCACACAACTCATCGAGTCCTGCACATGGTATGAACACATGCATGAAGATGTTGTGAGGTAAATGCTGTCACGGAACAGTGGACAGAATTTCAGAGCCCAAGGTGATTTGGTTGAAGGGACAAATTTGACTGTCTGGTAATGTGATCACTAGGTAAAGAAATATCTCAAAATAATAATGACAATACAATACAGGACTTATAAAACAAAAACGCAGATTCCTAAACTCAGTAAACTAATTGTTGGCCCACAGTAAGTTATTTTATGTCTTTTTTTCTTTGCATTAATTTGGCCTTACTTAACCTCTAAGGATAAGCTTATTAGAAAAATAAAGAAGCATTCTTTTTTTCCAAAGAGGAAATGCAGATGGCTAACTGGCCCATGAAACATTGCTCAACACTGATAATCATCAGGCAAATACAAATCAAAACCACAATGACATCTCACCTCACACCTGGCAGAAGAGCTAACATCAAAAAGAACACAAATAACAAATGTTGGCGAGGATGCTGAGAAAAGGGAATCCGCATACACTGTTGGTGAGAATGTAAATTGGTGCAGCCACTGTGGAAAACAGTATGGAGATTTCTCAAAAAACTAGGAATAGGATTACCATATGACCCAGCAATTCCACTCCTGGGTATATGTCCACAAAAAACAAAAACACTAATTTGAAAAGATATACTCACCCCAATGTTCACAGCAGCATTATTTACAATTGCCAAGGTATGGAAGCAACCTACGTGTCCATCAACAGATGAATGGATAGAGAAGATGTGTTATATGTACAATGGGATACTACTCAGCCATAAAAAGAATGAAATTTTGCCATTTGCAGCAACATGGATGGACTTGGAAGATATTATGCTAAGTGAAATAAGTCAGACAGAGAAAGACAAATACTGTATAATATCACTTATATGTGGAATCTAAAAAAATCAACAAACTAATGAATAAAACAGAAAAGAAACAGACTCACAGGTATAGAGAATAAACTAGTGGTTACCAGTGGGGAGAGGGGAGGGGGAGGGGCAAGACAGGGGTAGAGGAAAGAAAGGGTTATTATGGGATTATATGAAATCATTTGCATGAAACTTTTGAAAATTGTAAAGAACTTTGGAATTTAAAGGATCTTTCGTTCAATTAAAAAAGAAAAAGGGAAAAAAAAGAAGCAGCCTTGCAGAAAAGTTGAAAAAGAAATTCTGAAAAAAAAATTTGTTAGTTTGCCCGTGTAATTTCAGTCAGTCATTCATCCAGTTACCATATCCCAAATAAAATAGGGAAAGGACAGTAGCTTGAATTACAGTAAAACCTGGACAATATCGTTGAAGGCAGAAAAGGGAGTGAAATTCTTACTTGTCTCTAGGCCTGGATGAACTCTCTGTAGACTCTGAGATGCTCTGACAAGGATAGCTGGTGTGGCTGGAACAGAAAGAGAAGAAAACCATTAGTTATCCCTATAAAAAGTGGTCTGATGTGACTTTGTTACAATCTCATTTTCAAATGTCAAAATGTGACCAGGCCCAACCTCACAACAATTCTCTCCTTTTTCTTTCTTTCTTTTTCAAACTAAAATTGCACCTACCCTCTAAAAAGAACTCCTAAATATTCAGAGCAAATGGAAACCTTCTGGTCTTAGCTGCCTCTGGTCTCATGCCTGGACGCAGTCAGGAAGGATGAAAAATTGCCTTCCTACAACATTTGAGTCCAAACTTAAGTCTTGCTTGTGAAAACAAGGAGGAACATAAATTCTTTTTAAAAAGAGTATTAAAAACAGTTCAGTCAAAAGCATTTATTCTTAGAAATAAACATGTGAGCAACCCTGGGAATATGTTTATGTTTAATTAATTTTTCCTAGGGTATCAAGACAATTCAATAGGGAAATAATAGTTTTTAATAAATGTTTCTGAGAAACTGGATGTACATATTGTATATATGCAAATGATGATGTTGAATCCTTACCTTATACAATATACAAAATAAACCTCCAGATGAATCAAATTATAAGAACTAAAATTATAAAAATCCTTAGAAAATATACACCTGAATCTTTCTGTTGTTGGATTACATGATGGTTTCTTTTATGCAACATCAAAACACAATCAACAAAAGAAAAGTTAATAAACTTAGCTGCATCAAAAAAATTTCTTTCTAATATCTGCAAATCAATCCATCTGATAAATAAACATGTGAGCAACCCTGGGAATAGGGAAGGAATGAGGGGAAGTGAGAAGTTGAACAAGAGGGGGACAGAACTTTAGGACGCGAGATGGCAATGAGTCATCTATTATAAAAGCACTTTTAATTTTATTGATACTAGTATTAGGTTGCATTAAAAACAGGAAAAATGGGCTTCCCTGGTGGCGCAGCGGTTGAGAGTCCGCCTGCTGATGCAGGGGACACGGGTTCGTGTCCCGGTCCGGGAGGATCCCACATGCCGTGGAGCGGCTGGGCCCGTGAGCCATGGCCGCTGAGCCTGCGCGTCCGGAGCCTGTGCTCCGCAACGGGAGAGGCCACAACAGTGAGAGGCCCGCGTATCGCAAAAAAATACACAAAAACAAAAGCAAAAACAGGAAAATGATCAATGTAGTTATCACTGAACTGTTGAAATGCGTTGAACTGCAAACACCTCAGCTACAAAAGTATTGTAACTGTTATCTGGGCTTGGTGGACAAGGGGGTGTCTCCAAGATTCCTCCCATCCCATCAGGCTATCCGTGGGTTATTAGAGAGGCAGTTTGGTCCAGGCCCACAACAAACACAGGGCATTACCTCAAAGCAGCAAAGCTGCTGATGCTTTTGGTCCTCAACAGAAACCCACAGTAACAGCGCTAAGAAATCTTTCTTTGATATGAAAACAGGAAGAGGAAGAAAATGAAGATGCATGGGCAGTGGAGCTGGCCCACACCCATCTCCCTGAATTTCAGAGAGGGTGAATCCTGTCCATCTGTCCTGATCCACTTCTCAATGTGCTTTTTTACTAACTCCTCCCACCTGGCTAACCACTAGGAAGCAGCTGTCGGGTCTGAAGTTCAGAATATAGAACCTAACGGAGGAAGTTAAGATCCTTTCACTAAATACTGCAGAATTCTAACGCGTGAAAGTTTTTGCAGCCTTGGGCATATCAGTGAGAGTGTTCTTCCAAGCGAAGTTAGGTTTGGGGGGCTTTGGTGAATTCATATTTTAAATTCTGTGTGACTATTAGCTCTGGAAGGGTTTCTTTTCAGTCTCTCCCTAAAATTTAATATTAACTTCATCTGTAGAAGCTCATTTACTCCCAAATACAATAAAGAATTACGACAGAAAGCAAATGGAATACACGTTTCCCTAGAGTTAGATAATGTACTACACATTGATTTTAACGTGACCAGAAAGGAAAACGGCATTTTATGAAAATCCCCTCAAGTCTACTCACTGTCTTGATATCCTTAGTCTTTATTATTACCATTGTCTAGACCTCAACCCCTGCCTTTAATTCCTTACTACAAATCAGAGAACACTTTATTACCCCTTGCCCTAAATTGGGCACCAGAATGTTATTTTTGGTCAAGGTTTGGCAAGTTTGTATAACTTCCAACTGTGAATGACCTATTTCACTGAAAACTATATATGCCTTGAGAAAGTCCTGATAGCTCAAAAAAAGAGGAAAATTAAGTCAATCATGGGATGACATGCAATCACGTGTGTTATTTTTGTCAAAATTATCCAGCAAGTTTGTCTCAATTTTCAGCTTGAAAGTGAGTAAACAGACACCAGTTTCCAGGCTCAGATCAGCAGGAAAGTTGACGAATTGGTCTCAATTTCAGCTTGAAAGTGAGTAAACAGACACCAGTTTCCAGGCTCAGGTCAGCTGGAAAGTTGACGAATTTCTCCAGAATGACGACTGATATGGAATGTGGGCATCAGTTATGAGGCCCCAAGGAGCCCACAGAGCCAAACCTCAGGCCCGGAAATGCTTGGGGAGCACTGGCCACCCTTGACTCTTCCCAAACCAGGATTTTGCTTTCTTTGCAGACAGACGTCTGGTGCTTTCCTCCTTATGGCGTATTTGGTTAACACTTTCATGAAGCAGAAAGTCTTACTCAGCTAACACCCTCCACAGTATGTGATGAATCGAGGCATAAAAGGAACAAATGGCATTCTTGGGGAAGAACCACAGATTTACGCCAGTGCCGAGAGGGTGCCGATTACAAATCGAGCACAATGAGAAAAACTGTGCCATCTTAGCAAATGGAGATGTCACCCTCAGTTGTCAATTTCAGTGTCCAAGCTGTCCTCACTGTCTAGAAGTACCGAGCGATGGAGGAAAACAAATGAAGGGTGACAATAAGCAGAGAATCACAGCTCCAGTATATCCTATAAGAGTTTTTAAATGCTGGCATTATGAAATGAATTAGCTACAGCCCCTGGCCTTGGTGAGCCCACTATTTCCGGGCAGGGATCTATAAATGAAGGAGTGGTCAGCATTGGAGGGGCAATGTGGTAGCCCTTAACGAGTCTGGACAAGCTCCCTGGGGAAGGTGACCCCTTGGACAGGCGCTGAATTGGGGATAAATAAGAAATGAAAAGGAAAGGAAAGGGCAGTTGGAGCCAAGGCAAGCACTGCATAAAGACGGGGATAAGACACAACCTAGGCATGTAAAGAGCCACGATCTGCAGGGAGTGGGTGGAGCAGAGCTGACCTAGGATGTGTGGAGAGGTCAAGGGCATATTGGGAACGGTCTTTCCAAAGAACTTAATTGTGGGACTTCCCTGGTGGTCCAGAGGTTAAAAATCCACGCTTCCACTGCAGGGGGCACGGGTTTGATCCCTGGTTGTGGAACTAAGATCCCGCATGCTGCATGGCGCAGCCAAACATAAATAAAGAAATAAAGAACTGAATTGTGATCCTGCAAACACTGGAGAACTAGTGCTTTGCAGTGCCTTGAGGTGGAGCTTCTCATGGTGGACCTGCCTAAGAATGAACTGCAATCTATCCTCTCCTACTTATGTCCAGCCTTGTGGCTCAGCTTCCCAACTATGGCACACGACTGGACCTCAGTTTCTGTCTATAAAGTGGGGACAGTTGCATTATCTACACATGTGAGGTTTAAGTCAGTTAATACATGCAATATATTAAATATGCAATATAATAAGGGCTTGGTAAATGTTAGATATTCTTCTTCTTATTATTATTGTCACTTTTTATTGCTACCACTACCCTGAAAGTAAGAGCCCATCTCTTCCAGCAAAGAATTTGACAATGTTTTTACACTAGACTTTGTGAGCTTAGGGCTTTGCACATATGAGGACAGGATGCTGCCCTAAGCCCAGCAGGACCCACTCTATTCAGGTCCTCCTGCACAGGCTGGATGCAGGCAGGGGGACTTTGGGGAAGTAGGGTCAGTGGCGTCGGGGATGGTAATCTGCCTGGGACTAAATGCCGTCAATTCCAGTTCTTGTGAGTTGGTGAATTCCCTATTATATCAGTAAGAAAGCTAGTATGGGAGAATCAATGTTCTGGTGAGTACTGTAACTTACCAATTGTGCAGCAATGGCATTAGATCCAGCCGCGAATAGACAGTGCAAACACAAGTAGGTAAACCAAGATACTGCATATGGCAACAATTTTACACGACAGGAGATAACGTAAAGAGCCTCACAGGGCATCTGCCATAAAATAAGCATTGGTTAATGTCAGCTATTGTTATCATTATTAGCTTATGGTTACTATAATGATGTAACTATCATGGTTATGTAACTTATGGTTACTATAATGATGTAACTATCATGAAATCTCTATTTCCAGACTTCCTCTGATTGCAGTAATCATTTTACAGTATATACATGTATCAAATCATTGTGTTGTACACAAACTTGCACAGTATTTTATGTTAATTTTATCTCAGTAAAGCTGGGAAAAAAAAAACTTCCACTGAGAGGTTTTGCTCTCTCCCTCAGGCAGGTAAGCTGTCCTCCACCCAACAGCCCTAGGAACCATTCTTACACCCTTTGCTGTAACTGCTTATTTTCCTGTGCCCTATGACACACAGCAAGTTTCTTGAGATGGGTATTGCTTTTATCTTTGTAACCTCTGTTAGGAGCACAGGGCATGGCACCTAGTAGAAAAATAAGGCTTGCTAAAGAAATGAGGTAGATGAATTACAAATGCTTTAAACTTTGGCTTTCCAACTAAAAGGGGATCAAAGAAAAACTGTTTATTCTCAGCAAATTGTCTTTCCTTGTAAATCTCAAGTTTGCTTGACTACTTTTCCTGCCTTTTTGAAGTGTATTTATCCTTGTGCATATTCCAAAAATTTTCCCAGCTCGGATTTCAACCTCAAAGCTCTTTCCAGACCCACTATTTTCTTTCTGTCCTTTCTTCTCTATCAAACTATGATCACCATCACGGAAGAGTATTCAATTTAAAGTCCATATCTCCTC